CACGGGGATTATTAAAGTATTTCTGATTCTGATTCTGATTCTGATAAGACTGCATTAGTTTTAGCTAGGTAAATAAGATAAAGTGACAACTGAGTATATATTTGAGTCTGACCTTTGATATGTTGACTGAAACCACAAACATTCATGCAATCTGCAGTAACTTGTCAATATCAGGACTGATATAAATGAGACATCCATCCAGTTTCCATAATCAGTATTTCAAGAAACCAGAATTCTGAAGGTAGAGTTCTGCTAAGGAACCCTATTTTCTTGGCCATGTATAGTCATAACATGACATGACTTCAGACAAGGAAAGGTTTTGCTATGGCTAGATGAAAGGAAACATCATACAGAAACAGGTAGTCATACAAATTTATTTTACTACTAAACATTTAAAAATTTCTACAGCCACTTGTGTTTCCAGAATTAGAGGTGTATGCAATTTGGGTGAACTAACCCTTTAAACCCCAAATTTTGAAACCGAAACCAATGTCAGCAAGAAGAATAATAGTTTCTTTGTGTGTAAGTTGATTTTCGCAGCTGAACACTAAAAATCAGATACATCGTGCTGCAGGTTTTGCCGTAATCAGGTTACTGCAGTGCATGTGAACTCATTCTCTGATTTTCTTCTGTAACCTGGTTTCTCCCTGTAACCTGGTTTCTTGTGCCATTGATAACGGGTTAACACCAATCCCATAAGAGTATCAACACGGTATCTCATGTTTCACTACATAATAGAAGCATCCATGTCACTTCCAATATCTGTTTGGGTGTGTGTTTATTAAAAAGAGAGAGACAGAGGGGAAATCACTTTAAAAGCTCCAACGTGGGAATGCTCTTGTCATCGATGGTGTTTAGAAGTGCCGTGACAGCTGGCTCATGGTGTCTCCCTTCATGTAGTACTGATGCACTGTGTGTGAGTGTGTATATGTGTGTGTTTTTGTCAGATTTGTGTGTGTGTTGGTGTCCAAATATGCCCATGGTACTCGCCGGGTCCCGCCACCTGCTCCGTCTTTGCGACGGCTCTGGCACTGTCACCCGAGGAGTCCCTCACATTTCAGCTTCGTTTTGCGTCTTCGCCAGGCCTGCAGCGGAGTGAGGCCTGCAGGAGTTTGTGCTCTGGTTCATACACGACGCCAAAAAGCTGTCCGTCGTGAAGCATAAGTCTGGCTTGTTTCCACCTGGACGCTGTTTTCCCATCTGTTTTCATCCCAGTGATCAATTCTGACCCAAATCTTGTCGGCTTGACTTATGCAGACCAACAAAGGGCAATTGATACTTTCGAAATCAGGCCTAAAAGCTTTTTTGTTTTCAATAAAGTTATCACTTGCAGACTAAAGAGACATGTTTATTTTTTAAGTGGCCCTGTAAGCCAGCTAATAAGATTTGGTTGGAGGAAAATGTTAAAAGGGTAAGATACTGTCCAGACCTAAAATGGTCTCTTGTGCAATAACAAAGTTCACACAGTAATTTATAATTTTTGAAAAAGCTTTTTTTAAGACATTTCCACACAAACAAATGTTCTATAAAAACCATGTATTTCCAAAATGCCATTAATTGTTAGGAACTTGGACAAACAGCCTTGTTTTAAACCTTGTGCCAGGGCTTTTTCGACATAATTTAATTGGATTTCAAAGGGTATTTAGAAAAGGCAGAGCTGGATTATTGCTCCTAAACATTTGTCATGTTAGCAAATGGCTAACATGACAGAGTTACTCTACTGTTGCAATGTAGAACAATAAAGTAAAACAGTCTAGATTAACCTTTTTAAAGACATTTTAGACTCTAAAGTTAGCTTTTTTTGAGGTAGTCCAGTGGGTTGGCATGTTCTTAACCACTAAAGGAGCATTAAATCCATCATCAGTCTGACTTCATTAGAAAAAAAGAAGAAGAAGAATGTGTCAGTTAGCATCAGTAGGGTTAGCCAGCAGATAAAGAAAGAGAAAAAACACTAACATCTGAGGCCAGGCGGTTTGACTGACAGGTCATCTCTGGGAACCGCAGTGCAAAAACAAACCACATAGAAGTTTCAAAACACTACCTGAATCCATACTCTCAACGCCAGTTCACTTTGCTTTGGGAATTTTGTTGCGTCATTGAGTCATTGTCTTCATTGTCACTTCCTGTGAAACAGTAAGAAACAAGGAGAAAAATATACTACTTTTTAACTGAGCATGTGAGTAAATTCCTTCTGAAATTAATTTTGTTTAGGTTAATCAGATTTAGACACATAACTGATGACTATTGCAGTTTTTAAAATCCCAGACTTCGAACTTGAATGTAAGATCCTGTTGCTTTGGGTTAGTCAGATTTCATCATCCATAACTAAATATGAACTAAATAAGAGGAGCTCTTGGTAGCTTGACTGAGTCTTTAGTGTCTCCATGCTCATAAAGTTACTCTAATGAAGTTTTATTAGGGTCTTTATAACTGTTTCTGTTACATTTTAACGGCAGTGAATGTTTTAACATCCAGCCGTAATATACATAAGTAATAAGAACCGTGAAGTGTAAGCGTTTTGCTTGTATATATGTGTGTAGATTAAAAAATATGAGAGATGGTGTGTGTGGTGGAGTTTTATGTGTAGTCCTTTATTAGTGTCTTCTTTGTATGTGTGTGTATGTGGTGTGTAAACCGGTGAGTGCGAGCAGTGTGTGTTTGATGTTCCATTTACCCTTTTTCATAATTCATGGCATTGGGAAAATGGACTGAAGCGGAGGTGGCTATTGCGTGTGTGTATGTGCGTGTGTGTGTGTAGGTGTAGCAGGATAAGAGGATGAGTGTTCTGTGGTCGAAGATGAAACAGACAAGAGCGTGTCTTTGAAATGCAAAGAGTGGCGATAGCAGTGATTGGCCACTGTGTTGAGGAGGAGCAAGGAGTTTTTTCTCAGCATTTCATCATAATACACACATACTCCTTTTCTCTCTCTTACACACACACACACACGCACACACACACACAGTGGTTATTAATGAGAGTGTCAATTCATTATTATTTTATTTACCTCTGTGACATAAAACCCAGGCTAATTCGGTGCAGCTCTGAGCTCTGGGGGGTTGTGTGTTTGTGTGTCTTGCAATGAGTATAGTGCTGGTGCACACAAACACACACACAGTGTCTAGTGGTGGGGCCTGGGGACCAATTTATTTACATGCAGTGGAAGAGGAACAGAGGATTGGAGGAAGGGATAAAACAAAAAGGGAAGGAGAAAGAGGAAACAGCAGGGAATTATGGAGAAAACCCAGTGGAACGAACACATTTCTCTACTCTTCCCAAGGACAGACAAGACCAATTTACTATTTAGATGGCTCAGTGTGTATGTGTATGTGTGTATCCAGTATGTTATGTGATTTGTATCATATTTCCACTGCCTTCATCTGCGCCCAACTGTTTTACTTCCACTGTTAAAAAGTAGCTAAAGTAAAGTGTAAGCTGCGAAACTCCTCTGCGGTTCCATAATTTCAGTTTGGAAACACACCTTATGGGTGAAGTGGGGTACATAGAAAATGTGGCAGGAACAGGGTTGGAAAAAGGGCTGCACCCTGTACTGCGTCGGGACATGCAATATATATGTTAATATGTGGTTTTATTAAATCGTCTTGCTGCAACTTCTGATTATGTTTAAATAATGTTGTAAAAATATGCAACATTATATACATATGATCACAGACTTTTTTTCTGTAAAGCAAATATAGTTGCTGCCTTTTTTGTGTTAGTCACTTCCAGCAGGGAGGAGATTTTGTACCGGTGACCATACTGATGCATACATACTGACAGCAGAATGTCATCAGTGTAAAACGAGAGAATTAGGATCTCAATTAGTGGGAATGAGATGCTTACCTTTGTAAACATCCCGTCTTTGACAATGAATATGCACTTTATGTTACTAACGATATATTCTTTTAAATTTTTGTTTTTTAATATATACTTTTTTTTACATCTTTTCTCAAATCTTATCTGTTTCTTTTTGTCTTGCAGGCAGGACGCCAGTGACCTCTCTGGGCCGATACAAAGGTACTGTTATACATATTTTATTATTTTTCTCTCTTATTCCCTTTTACCCCTCACTCCTTCTCATTCCTTCGGCCTGATCCTCAGTGAGGTATGCAGTGTATCTCCAGGCTTCGACCAAACACTGACTACATCAACAGGCGTTTTAGCTTCAACGCTGGAATGGTGTTGGCGGTGTTGTTGAGGGGCCAACGTAGAAGGGCAGGAGGAAGAAGAGAGGAGGTGGTGGTTAGTAAAGAGAGAGAGAGAAATGAAGGGAAAGAGAAAAGGGAAATTGGAGAGGAGAGATGTGACGCGGCTCAGATCTACGGCCGAGGAGGGTCATTAAACTAAACCCTTTGGCGACAGAGCGACAGATCAAGCGAGGGGAGGGGAGAAAGGGAGAAGGTTTAAATAAGGGCTGATCTTAAAATAGCAGTACCTATTTCTCATCTGAGGCAGAGTTAACAGGAAAAGAACGAATATCCTGCCCTGAAAACCATCAATGCCCCCCCCCCCATTTCTTCCCGCAAGGAGGGAGGTAGTAGTGGGGAAAACAGGAGTAGGAACACTTTTTCACTTAATTTTCAATCCATTTAACATTATAGGAACACTAAAGCATTATAATGCACCTATAATGCTTCATGATCTGGATTATAATCACAGGTAATGCTTACTGTTGCACTTGTTAAATATCACAGGTAGTATAAAGTGTTATTGACCCTAAAGGCCCTAGTAATAGAACATCTCATAAACATTTATAGGATCAATAATGCATCAGCAGATGTGGCTCTAAGTAGAATCATTTACCATTATAATTTGTTACATTTGTTTTAGGTGTTGTAATTTGGGCAAATTTGCCATTTAAATACTTAACTCACAAAAGAAAAGGATGAGATTTTTTTTGCTTTTTAACACTTAATATTTAGGTGACACTGATTTATTTTGGTGTAACTGAGTAGACTGTGCGCATGCACTTTTCTGACTAGTTTAGATGAATAGATTCTCTTTTATTCTGGTATGTTTTGAATGACGCTTTGTTTGTCAGTAAAGCTGCATCTAATTCAGAGGACAAATAAACTACAATGGATTCATTCTAACAAAGGTGACGTGTTCACAGTGATGGATTACCTACTACGAGCCATCTTAAAGTGCAAGCTGATTTTTATTCTGTAATGAAATGAACTGCATCTAATGGCTAATGGTAAGAAACCCATTTAAAAAGTTTCGTATATGGAAAATATGCAGCTGTAATGTAAAGAATATGTGATTTTAATGGGCTGAATCATGTCCAACCACTGATGTAGTCCTTTAAGTAAGTATTGTTGTTTTTATCAATTTAACCTCTAAATAAGTACTTGATACTTTGTTAGTGCAGGAAGAAATGTGATAAAATGTTCTATGATGATCGATTCTACAAAAGTCTGCATCATTTTCTCATAACAGAGCTGGATGATATTGATTTTTAATAACAGAGTCCCTATATAGTATCAGTCTAAAGCTGCGCCTGATGGTATTCATAGGCAAACCCAGCAGGTAAATCAGCTCAGATCAAAAGCAAGATTCTGCAGAGAAACGAGACGCCGGCGGAGAAGAAGCAAAACACAGGAGGAAAAGAACGAGACGACGACTGTGGCTGTTAATAATTAGGCAAAATAGTTTGCTTTTGTTTTTCTCTCTGATTGGAGAAAACAGGCGAGGCTGTGGCTGGCGCATGAGCTCACACACACACAAACGATGTGTGTTACACGCTAATCCGCCACACAGCTGCGTCATTCCACAACGTGTGTTTACTTCCTCTCTGCCTTCACCACCGCCGCCGACCCCCCACAATCCCCTGCAAACACACACACACAACACAACACAACCCACACACACACACACACAATCACACAAAAGAGAACTGGGCGTGTAATTTGATCCTGTGCGCTCTCCTCCTCTAATGAAGCTCTCTGGCGGTTTGACTGACACCCGGCTCGTTATTTAAGTGTCTGTTTTGGGCCAGGAGGAGGAAGAGAAGCTAGGAGGAGGAGGAGGACGAGGAGGAAGGGGGGTGGGGAGAAAGAGATAGGAAAAGTGGAAACAAGGGAGCTGAAAGAGAGGATAGGGTTGGAATCAGGAGGATGGGGATGGATAAACGGACCACAGGAAATGAAAACAGTTTGGAAAGATGGAGTAGGGATGGAAGAAAAGAGGGTCATGGGAGTCGTAGGGAGTAGAGAAAAGGCGTTAAAAATGAAAGGGGTTGAGAGAAGGAGGAAAAAGGGAGTAGAGTTTTAAATAAGAGAGAAGACAACAACGATCAAGAGAAAAGAAGACAGTTTGGGAGGAGGAAGAGTTGATGCCGGAAACAGGGGTGATAAAGGGTGTGAAGGGATTGTGAGCGTGTATATGAGTGTGTGTGCGAGTATCTGTATAATTGCAGGTCTTTGTGCTGATAATGTTCTTTGAAGGCACACAGCTGATAATTAGCGAGCATGGCTCCACGGATGCCTTTCAGCATCGGTCATTATGAGCCGCAAACCCACTATTGGCTCTGACATGACCTCCTGAGATGGAGAGGACACTGCACTCGCGCACGCATGTGCACGTACCACCGTAGCACCCAAAAAAATACACAAATCGGCATAAACAAGCGTTGATTAGTGTATGAATAGCATCAGCTCACGAGTGGAACAGATACAACAGCTCTCTCAAGGCCTCAAGTTCCTCTTTGGCACGAGGGCTACAGGTGTGTGCTAGACGCACAAATGCACACACACTTCCTGTTTACAGAGCCAGACACACATAGACAGCAGAGACTGTAATTACAGGGATTCACACAATGTGGCGTCCCGGTACGCTGCGTCCGTTATTGCCTCCCCGGTTGCCACATGACAACAGCGGTCCCTCACTACGGCGACTGCTCGGTGCGCCGCTTCTGGCCCCGCCTCCCCCAGTATTCCCACATCTGAATATTTATGAGAGGGGAGCAGGCTCACTGCAGTCAGACGACACTGGCTGAAGTATTCTCTCTCTTCAGCAGTGACAGTTATCAGTGTTAAAGGCTCCTTCCTGAGCTCTAATTTATCCCCCAGTGAGAAAATGTCCGACGAGAGTTGCGGTCTGGAAGACGGGCTTTCGAAAAACGCTCCCAGTCAGCATAACTGGCAAAAATGCACCGTCATTTGACAACTTAAACGAAGAGTAAACATGATGACTGCTTGCTTTCTGCCAATCAGGAGAGTGATGCAGATTTTCATAGAAAAACACTATGATGATCTCACAGGCCTGACAAAGACCTCAATATGTGTCTGTTACTCTTCTGCTCCTTCTCTTTGTCTCGTAGCAGCAGCCTGCTGTACGTTCATAGTTTACCACCTTAGACACTTAGCTCTAGTGGAATGTAGCCTTGTAGATTGTCCCTGTTGTAGGTTTTGAGATATCCAGATCTAAAACCTGTTGCTTGTTGTCGACCTAATCTCAACTCAAGGTCCATTTACTACCTTTTTCATAGCCTTTGTGACCAAAGTGTGTATGATGGTGGTGAGGTGTGAACAAGTGGTCGTATCAGCGGGAAAAATCAAAACCCCTGTCTCGCTTTAAAGATGGTTCCATGGTTCCAAAGTTCGACTGAGTGGGACTCGAGCTAAGATTATTTTGTCTCTTATATCCAGAACTTAGTTCACTGCCTTATCAACATTACTTGCAGATGTCTTGAGCGCACCACAAACTGCAAATCAGTGTCACCAAATCTTTCAACATAACAGAATTAAACAGGACAATTTTTGTTGCTGAGTGGAGAAAGGATGGATGGCCCCACTAGAGGTAAGTGAGGATATGTGCCCCTACCTTCTCCCTCCTGGTCTCGGGATTCCAACCGTCCCACACCTACTGCCTGTGTGTGAACTTCCATTGTCGCAGCAGTAAAAGTGGGATTGAAATTCTCACTGGGTCTTTAATTGTGGGAGGCTGTGCCAGTGTCATGCTCGCTGTTCATCCATTTTTCATCCAAACACATGAATTATGAAGAGCTGCTAATGACGGGGAGGGACAGAGGGGGGAGGAGGGGAGGAAGGAAGGAAGGAGAGGGGAGAGTGTGTCTGCAGAGAGCTGGATGGACGTTTAGACATCTTTTCTCCCTTCGCTTCTTCTCGCAATCTGTCTTTTCTCTCTGAGGAACATTTTCTTTCTCTCTGAGTGACACAGGTTCAATTTGTGGACAAGACACACACACACACACACACACACACACACACACACACACACACACTCACTCACTCACTCACACACACACACACAAAGGGTGGCAGGTTGAAACAATTTAATTAGTGGCTCGGAGGCTTTAAACTTCTTTGTGGTGTGTTCAGACATTTGACCGGAACACAATTGGTTTCTTGAAGGAATAAAACCTAATTACAACACAAAACTCTCTCCTGGCACCACACACAACAACGACAACACACATTTACATGGTCTCTAAACCTAAGAGCATTTTTAAAATTTACATTGGCCTGTTATTGTTAGGTTCCAAAATTACTTTTACTTATAAATTAAATAAATAGTTTTTTTTTCACTGTATTTGTCCATTTTGTTTTTTTTAATTTAATTTATGATTTATAAGCGCCGGCTTCTTATCATTTTTCTGTCACAGTTTTTTAATCTTCTTCGTCAAA